ACGATCTCACTCACCCAAGGATTCACAGCTAGTGGCAAACCCAGGACTCGTGCCCAGGCTGGTCTGGGGGTGGCACATGTGGGTGATCAGCAAGGACAACGTTCCCTTCCTTCTTTGGCCCATTCAAGGTTCTGACCTTGGCACTCTGGGCCCCCAGGAGAAGAGCCGGAAGCCTGCAAAGCCTCAGAGGGCTGCTCTGCTCGGCCACCCGGCAACAAGGCCTGGCTTTTCACGTGAGGTCAAGAGGGAAGATGCCAAAAAAGAGAAAACGTACATCGAGCATCTACACGTGCCAGGGATTGCTGTGAGCACCTCTGCCTTTGCTGCTGTGATTTATTTTTTAGCTCATCTCCAATCTCCCCCCAAACCCTGAGAGGTAAACAGGATTATTTCCTTTTTTTCCCTTTTACATAGAGGAAACTGAGGCACGGAGAGGGGAGGTGACTGGCCAGAGGCGATACTGGTGGAAATGGCAGAACCAGGATTCGAACTTGGATCTAGGGACTCCAGAGCGCAAGCTCTTTCCAATCCACTCTGGAACCTTTCTGGACAAGCTGCGAGTTGAGAAATGTCATCTGTGGGCGGCCTTGGGCCCAGTCCCAGTTCTGACCCCCTCTTGTCTCCCCGGGGAAGGAGGGACGTCTAGGGGCAACTGGGAGCAGGGCAGCCGCATCGGCTCCTGTGGAAGCAGACAGGAGACCCCCCCAAACTCCACTCCCTCCTTTCCTCTGGGAGGGAGGAGCTGAAGTGGACGCCTCCAAGGCCACCTCGGGGGGCCTGGCTGCCGCCCTAATCATTTAGCGGGGGAAGGCAAAGCAATCAGCACTTAGCTGGCTAATTAGTCCCTGCAGCACCCAGAGTGGGGGTTGCTGCCACACACCCGCGACGTGGTGTGAAGGCGGGCGGGTGAGCAGGCTGGGGACTGTGTCTGGAACCACGGACCGGGGCTGCCCTGCCTTGTCCTGTCTGCACATTCATACCGACCACTGACACCTGCTCGTCCCTTCGTTTGAGGGTCACTGCATGCCTACTGTGTGCCAGTGGGCATCGCGTGAGCACGCCAGGCGTCCTCCCTGCCCTCGTGGAGCTTAGAGTCTCTCGGGGGCGAGACATTCAGGAGTCACCTGGGAACATGCACACCCCCAACTGTCTCCCGTTTCTGTGCTGCAGCTCCGGCTGTCCCCTCTCCCTGGCACGCACGTCGCCTGGCTAACTCCCGGCCCCCCTGGAAAACTCAGTTCCGATGCGCCCTTCTCCAGGAAGGCTTCGCTGGGGGCTGGTTGAGGTGCCCCTCTCCGTTTTCCCAGAGGGCCCTGGAGACGCGGCCACTCTGCCCGCTCCCTCCGCCGGACTGTGAGCATGGAGCTCGAACGTCCTGGGTCTGGGGGGCCCCTGTGCCTGGCATCGTGCCTGGCACTCTGCTGGTGTCCAAAAAATATTTGCAGAATGAGGATATAGAGGATACATCACGTGACCAGAACTGGTGACTTTGGGAGGTTGGTTTCCTCGTCAGCAGAATAAGGTCTTCTTGGGTTTAGCAGGGCGGTGGCAGGAGGGGAGGGCGGTGGCCCAGCCTTTGCCGGACCAGAGAGGCCTCTGGAATGTCCAAACTGGGCATTAATCACCTTGGTTTGGTCCCTGCCAAAGCTTCTCCCCAAGAGGCTTGGTTATACATTAAAATTCTCTTTACCTGCAAGAATGGAAAGTGACTGTGGCCCACTTCAGCAAAAAAAAGGGGCTTTGCGAAGATTCTGGATCATCTCAGACTTCAAAGAGGCACTGGACCCCCCACACACACATGAAGGGTGGTGCCAGAAACCTCAGGGCGCAAGCGGAGGGACCCCTCCTCTCATCAGCCCTTCTCCAACCTTCGTGAGCGGGAGCATCACTCAGGAATCAGGTTCAATGCAGACTCTGATTGGGCAGGACGGGGACACAGCGTGACTCTGCTCCCAGCTACAGAATAAATGAACGGCTCAGCTCGAACCTCCCAGCCCCTATGATCCGCAGTTTCTGGGAGAAGGTCCTGGATGGGTCCCGATCAGGCCGGGTGCCCACCCAGGATTATCGGCCATGAGCAGGGGCCCCAAGAACAGCGAGGCCCCAGCCTGGTCTCGTGTGTCCAGTTATTCCCAGACAAGGGTGGCCTTGGGATGGGGCGGCCATCCTAGGAGGGGCTGACGGCAGCTGGGACGGAGCCAGGCCAGCTCTCCAGACAGTGACCGTCCGAGCTGGCGAACGCTATCACCTTTCAACCTGGAAATGGATTTCCAAAGGCCCCAGGGCTGGAGGGTAGGTGCAGGGAGCCGAGCGAGGGCAGGAAAGAGGGAGGGAGGGGAGACTTGAACTGGCAGCTGGTCCTAATTTCCCCAGGAGGAGGCCTGACGGCCCCTCCTCCGTGCTGAGTGTTTGCCATTAAAAACAAACAGTATCATTTGGTTCAATATAAAATGAATTAAAGGAAATTAAACTGCGAGGGCCATGTGGCAAGCCTTGTCCGCCATTGTCCGGGGCTGTTTGTCATCTTCCCCAGTGGGGAACAACAGCTTGGGGGGTGTGGAGCTGGGCGGGACTAGGCAGATAAATAAGTAATGCAACCCCCTCCTGCCCCCCAAAGGGGGGTGGGGTTTGGGAAATCCCAGGTGCCTGCTGGGGCTCTGTCCCTTGCTGCGTCCCTTGGTGGCAGAATGTAGCCTTTGAGAGTCTCCCAGGGAACGGAGTGAAGGGAAAAAAACAAAACAAAACAAGGACAGCAACAAAAAATGATGCGCAGGCTCTGGAGACAGAAGGGGGGGATGCTGGGGTAGCCGAGGGAGGAGGATGTGGGTGTGGGGTGCCTGGGTTGGTGGGGAGCAACCTGGTGGGGCCTCAGGTGCACAGAAAGCAGCTGCCGCCGCCATGTGAGACGGGGTCACTGGGTCAGGGGTGTGGGGGTGGAGGGCAGTGGGCAGAGAGGCGGGATCATGCAATGGTTAAGAGTGTGGGTTCTGTACCTAGACTGCCAGGGCCCAAGTGCCAGCCCTGCCACTTGCTTACCCTTAACAAGTCACTTGCCTCAGTTTTCTCATCTGCATGTTGGGGATAATAAAACTCTCTCTCTCATAGTGCTGTTGTGAGGATGAAAGGAGTTCACATATATGAAGCACTTAGAACAGTACTAGGCACGTCAGCTATTTATTGTTACTCTATTATAATATCATAGTGATGATTGTTATTATCATGGGTCCCGGGGGGGTATCCCCCCTGGCATCTGGAAGACCTGGTTTCTCAAGTCACAGCTCTGCCACAGACTTGCTGTGTGACCCTGGGTAAGTGAACATACCTTGCTGAGCCTCAGGTTCTTTATTTGCAAATGAGGGATCATCACCCGGGGACAGAGACTGGCAGTGACCTCTCCATATCCTTCCTCCCCTGACTCTTTCAAAGTGAGAGTCTCCATTTTTGCTTAAGGCTGTTGCCACTCAGCTACAAGATGATGCCCTCAGCCTGCCAGGCACCAAGTGTGACTGAGTAGTGGCCCATGAGATCTAAGTGAAAGTGACCGGGACAATTTCTGGGAAGTCACAGACAAAGGGCCAGGAACACTTATGAAAGAAGATGCAAAACTCCCATAAAAAGCAGCATGCAGAATCCAGGAGCATATTCAAAGGATAATACATCACAATCAAGTGGCGTTCATTCCCGGGAATGCAAGGATTAACAGGAAATCTAATAATGCAACTCTTCATAGTGACAGATCAAAGGAGAAAAATCAGATGCTCTTTGATCAAATTCAACAGCCCTTTCTGATTTTAAACACTGTAATAAATTGGACTACATGGGTGCTTTCTTGACATGATAAAAGATTCTCAGCCCCAATGCTGGTATCTCATTTAATAAGGGACTACGACGGTTAGTTTTAAGTGTCAATCTAACCAGCTAGACTATACTACTCAGTTATGCAATCAAACTCTAATCTATGTGTTGCTTTGAGGGTGTTTTTTGGTTTGTTGGTTTTTTTATTGACAGAGGCTCGCTTTGTTGCCCAGGCTAGAGTGAGTGCCGTGGCATCAGCCTAGCTCACAGCAACCTCAAACTCCTGGGCTCAAGCAATTCTCCTGCCTCAGCCTCCCGAGTAGCTGGGACTACAGGCATGCGCCACCATACCTGGCTAATTTTTTCTATACATTTTCAGTTGGCCAATTAATTTCTTTCTATTTTTAGTAGAGATGGGTTCTCACTCTTGCTCAGGCTGGTTTCGAACTCCCGACCTCGAGCAATCCACCCGCCTCGGCCTCCCAGAGTGCTAGGGTTACAGGCGTGAGCCACTGCGCCCAGCCTGTGAGGTTGTTTTGTAGATGTGGCTGACATCTGTAATTGGTTGACTTAAGTGACAGAGATTGTCCTCGATACTCTGCATGGGCCTTACCCTATCAGCTGGAAGGCCTTAAGAGTAAGACTGAGGCTTCCACAAGGAAGGAGAAATTCTGCCTGAAGACCACAGCATCAGGACACCAGACTGGATGACGAAGAGGAGACTAGACTGGATGAGGAGGAGGAGACCAGACCAGAAAAGGAGACGAGACAGGATGAAGAAGGGATGAGACCACACCAGACCAGACGAAGAAGAGGAGACCAGATGGGACAAGGAAGAGGAGATCAGATGAGGAAGAGAAGACCAAACGGCAAGAAGAGGAGGCGTGAAGATGAAAGGCCTGAAGAGGAAAAGGAGACAAGACTGGAAAAGGAGGAGGAGACAAGACTGGAAGAGGAGGAGATGAGACCGGAAGAAGACAAGGAGACCAGACCAGAAGAGGGGGCCAGACCGGAAGAGAAAAAAACGAGACTGGAAGAGGAGGAGGAGACAAGACCGGAAGAGGAGGGGACAAGACAGGAAGAAGATCAGGAGACGAGCCCAAAAGAGGACGAGGAGACGAGACCAGACGGGAAGAGGATCAGGAGACGAGAGCAGTACCTCATTGAGACCTCATGAACCTTCCTATAAGATAGGTATTGTTCTTTGCCTTGTTTACAGATGAGGAAACTAAGGCTTAGAGAAGTTATATAATCTGTCCAGGGTAACACCTCAACTCATGAAACTGAGAATTAAAACCAGGCCTGACTCCAGAGTCTCTGCTGTTAGCCATTATGCAAGTCAGATACCTTCTTTCTTGACTATATGGTTGTTCCACAGCTTCCTCCAGAGGTGTCCTCAGGCTGGCCCTGGGGCTGAGCCACAGCTACTGTCCTGGTGATTTCCAACCCCAGATTTTATTTTTACTCTGGATGGGGGGAGTGGCTAGGTCCTGGGCTGGAGGGCAGAAATTGGGCTTCTTGTGCTGTTCCGTCTCTGGACACAAGAGGGGGGACTCTCAGCAGGCATCACTAGGCCTCACTTGCCCCATCGGTAACACGGGAAAAATAATCCTACTCCTGGTGCCTGGCAAAATTACTCTTTTTTGAGATCATATATGGAAGAAATCTGCATAAATGATTAGCACTTATTAGATTATGTATAGATCTAGCCCCCAACCAAAATGCCAGACTTAATTCCCAAAAGTTCCCAGCAAACTTGGAAAACCTTCAAAGGATCCTTACCTCCCTGCCTTTGTTCATGCCTTTCCATGTATCTGAAAGGCCTCCTCATCTTCATCTACCATTATCCTACCTATCCAGAAGGCCTAGTTCATAGGCTTCCTCCTAGAAGGTGTTTGTGGACCTTAACCACTTAAGACAGGCATCACTCCTAGCCTTACCATATAATTACCGATGTACAGGACATCTCCTCTATGGAGGACATGTGTTGGTTTTTGCTTGCCTAATATCTTGTCCCCCTTTTAGTAACAAGCAATTTGATTTTCCTCTGGTGAACAACTTTCCCTCACTTTTAATGCATATGATATTTATTTATTTTTTTTTAACTTGGATTTTAATTATGTACATAAATAGCAACATGAGAATGAGGAGTTCTAAGGCTTGTACATTATCACCAGGTGAAAAAATTTCAGATTAGTTTGCTTGTAGGATGGTATCACCCAAGAAAACAGAGGCCTAGTATAGTTTTTCCTGAAGAAGAAAGCCAGTTTAATACATTCAATACTGACTTCTCTGCCATTTTTCTGTAGAAATATTGATTTACTGTATGGAGTTTCCAATGTTTACCTATAACTGATTAATATGGGCAGAGCATGGAGTTTTCTACTTATTTCTGGGTGAATTCTTCACCTTTCCAGGCTTTTGAAAGCTCCCCTTCCATAAATCTTCTATGACTATGTATCCTCGTAAACCCCAGTCATATAATTTCTCCTCGCTGACCTGGACAAATGTGATGTGTTGTGGATAATAGAGGCAGCTAATCCCATGAAACCAGGTGGATATACCAGCTTCTTTACTTTTGAACCTCTAGCCAAAAGGAGTCCAACAAGGCCAGCAAAACCAATAACACCAAGTCTTGGGAAAAACCCGGTGCATTTTGGAGATTCATAGCTGTCTAACCTCCATTGAACCAAAGTTTGTATCTTGGGCTTAGTTTGAGAGTATGTTTCCTGACACCCGCGTGTATATGGCTCGCAATAGTGTCGGAGCTGTGAGATGCTTTCTTCGAGTTGGGTCCGTGGTTCTTCCACATATTTAGATTGACCCGCGGGAGCTGAGTAGGGTAAAAGCTCATCAATCTTCTTGGGATGTGGGGGAGGTGGGTCCTTTTTCGGTGCTGCATACACTTTTAAGGTGAGTAGACTCAGGCTGGCTGGCCCCACGGACCTCTGAATTACCTTGAACACGTCGCTGGCAGTGGCGGCTCTGGCAGGTTATTTATTTATTTTGAAACAGAGTCTCACTGTGTTGCCCGGGGTTTAGTGCCAAGGCGTCAGCCTAGCTCACAGCAACCTAAAACTCCTGGGCTCAAGCAATCCTTCTGCCTCAGCCTCCCGAGTAGCTGGGACTACAGGGACGCACCACCATGCCCGGCTAATTTTTTATATATATATATTTTTAGTTGGCCAATTAATTCTTTCTATTTTTAGTAGAGACAGGGTCTCGCACTTGCTCAGGCTGGTTTTGAACTCCTGACCTCGAGCAATCCACCCGCCTTGGCCTCCCAGAGTGCTAGGATGACAGGCGTGAGCCACCGCGTCCAGCCAATGCATATGATTTGGATGGGGTCAACCCCACTTCCAAATCCAGAGGTCGGCATGTGACGTAGGCCTGTTCAGAGTTACTATCGTGGGTTCAGTGAAGGGCAGGTGACTCAATTAAGAGCACTGAGAATGACTCCTAGGATTTTTGCTAGGACCACTGGGGTAAAAAGCTCTATTTTTGCTATCATTGGAAGTAAAGATGGAGCTGTGAGGGGCTTTCACATGGGACAAAAAATTCCTGAGGATGAAGCCACCCAAGAGCAGGTTATAGAAACAGACCTTATCTGGAACATAACATTGCCGGAAACCCTTGGATCTTAGATCCAGCTATTCCTGAAACTATTAATAGAAGTAACCTGCCTAGGACAAATAAATTCTGTCCCTGCCCACATTCTTTTTTTTTTCCTTTTAAGATAGTTTGTGTTGGATTTCCATAATGTAGAACTGAAAGATAGGAACACATCCTCAATTTGTTTATGAACTTCAAGGGGCCAAAAGCCTGATCTTTGTAACTTTACATTTCTTAGCATGGTACCCGGTAAGACAGAGGGTCCTCGAGGTTTGATGATTGATTCCTTCAATCTCACTTTCCCTGAGCACCTCCAATGAGCGGAGCTAAGCACTGGAATCACAGGGATAATTAGACATAGTCCTTGCCCTCGAGAGTTCTGAATTTAGTACAAGGAGGAGGTATGAAAATGATCACTTTATAATATAACTTGGCTATAATAGAAATCTGAGCAAATGTTTATGGGATTCCAGAGGGTTGGAGGTTTGGGGAGATGGGATGTGGGAAGGCTCCTCAGAGGGGGTGACGTCTGAGTCAAGTTCTTGAGGAATGAACAGAAGTTCCTAGGCAGAGAAGTGGGCATGGGGAAAAGGTGTCCCAGAGATGAGGTGTTCCAGGGGAAGAGAACAAGATTATATATTAATAATTATAAAATTAATAATAATAATAGCACCATCTCCTGTTCTTCCTGTGGCCTCTTCACAAGCTCCTTCCTCTTTCTCTTCCTCTGCCTCATCTATCAGTGGAACCATCACAGTGGTTAAAGCACGGGCTCTGAGCTCTGAAAGATTTTGGTTTTGCCCAGACGGGGTGCCTCATTCCTATAATCCCAGTGACTCAGGAGGCTGAGGCGGGAGGATCACTTGAGCCCAGGAGTTTAAGACCAGCCTGAGCAACATGGTGAGACCCCAGCTCTACAAAAATAGAAAACTTAGCCAGGCCTGGTGGTGCACACCTGTAGTCCCAACTACTCGGGAGGCTGAGGCAGGAGGATCACCAGAGCCCGGGAGTTCAAGTTCAATGCAATGAGCTGTGATGACGCCACTGCATTCTAGCCTGGGCAACAGAGCAAGAGTTTGTCTCAAACAATAAAAGATTTGGTTCTGCCACTTAAAACATCCATGACCTTGAGCAAGATCACTTACGTTTTACAAATAAGGACAACAGTGTATTTGCCTTATAAGATTGTCAAGAACATTAAACAAAATTACAAAAAAAAAAGATGACGACAGCATCAGGTCAGGCGTGGTGGCTCATGTCTGTAATCCTAGCACTTTGGGAGGCCAAGGCAGGAGGATAGCTTGAGGCCAGGAGTTGAAGACCAGGCTGAGCAAGAGTGACACCTCCCCCATCTCTACAGTGGAAAAATTGGAAGTGGAAAAAGTGGAAAAATTAGCCAAGCGTAGTGGCATGAGCCTGTAGTCCCAGCTACTCGGGAGGCTGAGGCAGGAGGATTGCTTGAGCCCAGGAGTGTGAGGTTGCAGTGAGCTATGATAATGTCACTGCACTCTACCCAGCGAGACAGAGCGAGACCTTGTCTGATTAAAAAAAAAAGACTGCAGCATCAGTTCCTGCCGGGAGTTTCCAGGCCCCGCAATCATGCAAGCCGATTCCTTGCAATCAATCTCTTCACGTGCACATGTCCTACTGGTTCTGTTTCTCTGGAGAGCCCTGTCTGAAATGACCCTAGAGGCATTCCCGTCAAGACCAGAATGAAGACAAAACCGCCCACTCTTGCCTCTCTGTTAGGCAAGAAAAAGATCCGACAGCAACAAGTGACCCGCCAAACAGTGAGCAATGGAAGAAGTGATGGAGCCAGGCTCTGCCCATGTTTAAATCCAGAACCTCTAAAAAAGACAATTCTTTCATCTTTCTGGATAATGTGCACACAGCACACTTCGAAGATGAGGTTTGAAAGTAATGCTAAATGCTTAAAGCAGATAGTGGAAAAAAGCAACCTGTATTCAGCACTGAGGAAGTGTGAATTGCTATAGCCTCTCGAGGAAGAACGTCTGGGGACATCAGAGATAGTCAATACTAAAATCCAGCAATTCTATTTCTAGGTGGCTATGTTAAAGAAATTTTTGTGCATCTGCACAGAGACATTCATTATTTATTGTACTATTCATAATGGTAAAAAAAAAAAAAAAAAAAAAACCCAATCTAACTGTCCATGAGTAGGGAATGGAGTGAATAAACCAGGAATATCATACAGCACTGAAAAATGAATGGAGACCTGGAACTACACATATTAATAAAGATCAGCGGTTCTCAAACTTCAGTGAGCATTCAAGTCACCGGAGGGCTTGTTAGAACACAGGCTGCTGGCCTGCCCTCCACAGTTTCTGAAATTAGGGTCTTAGGTGGGTCTGAGGATTTGCATTTCAATCAGTTGCCAGGTGACGCTGATGCTGCTGGTCTGGGGACCACACTTTAAGAAGCACAATGTAACAAACTCTAAAACAAAACTGTGTAACAGCACAAGATGCACGTAGCCTGTACGGATGCTAGTTTGTTACACGTGAAAACCAATACCATATTTTGTTTATGGACATACACACTGACAGTAAAAGAACAAGCGATAGCTCCAGGGTAGAAGACAGAACATAATATTTCAAAGGCTGTGGCAGAGAGATTGCCATGAATTCTCCAAATTCCTCTTAATTTCCCCCAGGCCCTAGGAAGACAACTGTCCCAGATTCTCTGCTGTTAGGTGGGCCCCCACTGAGTCTTAGCCAATGGCAGAATGTGGGTGCAAGTGAGCCACACAAGTTCTCGGTACCAAAAACCTTCCTGCAACCCTCCCATCTCTCCTCCCTCGTCGGCCCCCTGGGCGCTGAGGTTCCATTGGAGACTGTGTGGTCTCAGCCCCTGCTACATAAGACTCCAGCATCTCTGGTCCTCCTGAGGGTGAGCCCCAGGGATCGGTGTGGAATCAGCTCTCCAGGCAATGTCTCTGTACATCTAAAGCTGAGACATGCTGTCCTAGGGGAACATCCCGGGGGATGGTGATTTCATCCCATGGAAGCAGCCTGGATCCCTGAATGCCCGCATGGAGCAGAGCGCTCAGTCGGCCTGCACTGGACCACGACAGGCTGGAAATAAGACGCTGGGCTGTGCCACCGAGACTCTGGCGTTGTATCCTAATCATAGAGGGGGAAACCGATAATACAGAGGTTGCAAGTGGGGGAGACATTTGGGGGGGCTTTTATTTCTATAAAAGGAGGAGGATCTGAAGCAAATATGGAAAAAGTTAACATCTTTGAAATCTGAATGGTGAGTAGAGATCTCTGTTATTATTTCTGCACACTTGAAATATTTATAATTAAAAGTATTCAAAAATAACCTAAAATGAAAAATCTCAGATTTATCCAGGCAGGTACCGACAGCTGGGAACGAAGAGGGGTAAAGCAGAAAGCGCCACCCAGGGCAGGTGGTGCCTTATGTCTCCACCGCTGGAACAGCAGGACCAGGTGTTTCCTGGCTGCCGCGGACCCGCTGACAACAAATGGGCCAGCTGCCTTCCCCACAACCGCAAGTGGCGCCAGCACCGGGGATCGGTTTCCAAGGCTGCTGTGACAGATCCGCACACGCTGGGCGGCTGAAAACAACAGAATTTTATTCTCACACGGATCTGGAGGCCAGAAGTCTGAAATCGGTTCCCCGGCCAAACTGGAGGTGTTGGCTGGCCGCGCCCCCCCCCCCCGGAGACTCTTGGGGAGAAGCTGATCCTTGGCTTTCCCAGCCTCTGGCGGCTGCTGGCCTGGCTCGGCTTGTGGCCGCGCCACTCCAGTCTCTGCGTCCACCATCGCACTGACTTCAGGGTCAGTAAGCTGCTTCTTAAAGGAACAGACGGGAAATAGTTTGGGTTTTGTGGGTCATGCAGTCTCTGTCACCACTACTCGGCTCTGCCATTGTGGCAGGAAAGCAGCCACGAGGTATAAATGAGTGCGGCCGCATTCCAATAAAGCTTTATTTGCACAAACAAGCACTGAGCCCACAGGCTGTAGTGTCCCGACTCCTGAACTAGATTCTGCAACATGTTGTGCTCCTTGATAAGAGGGTTCCATGATTAATACGTTGGGAAAATTAAGCTAGAGAACACAATGTGAAACGAGTTTCTTGACTGCAGGACTTCTCAGAGCCTTTACTATGTTATTTTTTTATGTGTGTGTGATAACATACAAAGCATTTCCCAGAGGTCTGTGACCACAGAACACCTTCTTATAAAATGCCTATTAACATTTCCCTAAGGGCCCAGACCATAGTTTAATAAAGGATATTTTTACTACCATTTACGGCATTGGTATCTTACTACCATGGTAAAAGTGGCATTTACGAAATCATAGCATTGCTTGCTTTTCTTGCTTGCACGCTATGG